AAAAAAAAAAAAAAAAAAAAAAAAAAAAAAAAAAAAAAAAAAAAAAAAAAAAAAAAAAAAAAAAAAAAAAAAAAAAGGAAAAAAAAAAAAAAAAAAAAAAAAAAAAAAAAAAAGAAAAACGAATAAAGAAAAATGTTTATTATTATTATTATTAAACTCATGCACTTAGTTGCCATTGCTGGCCGCACTTGGACCTGCATTATTTGCAGACCCAGGATCCTCAAAAATATCGAAATTAATAAAATCTCCAAGATCAATTGAACTGTCATTTGCTCCAGCACTACTTCCAAGTATATCTAAAGAAGTAAGGTCTTCCATTGGAAAATTCATTGACGAAGTAAAACTTTCAAGCTATAAATAAATAATAAAATTAATAAATTTATATGCTTAAAAAAATCCTAACCATTATTATAATAATACTCTAGGTCGTCTCATGTGTACAAGCGGAATAAATATTCGCTTATACTCAAAGAACTAAGACATTATAAAAAAATATAATAAGCCACATACCTCCTCCATATTCATATTTAGAGAAGAAGAATCTTGTTGAGAAATAATGGATGGCATTATTCCTGGCGCTGAAGTCTGAGCAGGTTGTTGTGACTGAGCCTGTCCGTTTGAAACCATCTGTTGTGGATTGGTTACAGCAATAGAAGATCCGCCGCTAGGCTGCTGTGGTTGAGCCTGAGATGGCGTTGGTTTTTGATTCTTAATAAAAAAATAAATAGATAAAAAATAAAATAAAATAAAAATAAGAATGATAATAAAGATAATAAAAATTCTCACCTTTACTACTTTATTTTCATTTCTATTCTTTTGAACTTGATGAACTTGTTGCTGTTGTTGATTATTTGATGCTTGAGATTGAAGTAATTGTTGCTGCTGATGTTGTTGTTGCTGCTGCTGCTGTATTTGTTGTTGAATCATGTGCATTGATTGCATTGATTGCATTTGATTCATATTACTTAATTGAAGATTAAGTGGCCGCATAACACTCATCTCATGAATGTTGCGCTAAAATAAATAAAAATATTTAATGTGATTTATTTAATTATTTATGAATTTAATCAAAAAGTAAAATTTATGACAAACCTGTTGTTGTTTGTTGAATTTATCTAACGTACTTTGATCCATATTAAGAAAACCAGGATTAATTTTTTGAGCATCAGGAGCATTAGGTCTCATTAATGCTTGTTGCATGAGTAATCTGTTTGGATATGAAACCATTCCATAATTTTGCATAATATTAGCACCAGTGAGGTTTGGAGGTCGAATGGCTTGATTCATCGCGTTTTGGATCGGTATTGTATTTAAGGTATTATTGTGAATGTTCTGATTAACCTGGTTCATTAGTTGAGGATCCTGGATATCATGCGAGTTTTGAACAGACAAAGATTGCAGATTTCCATGTGGAGATATCGGTTTATTATTAAGATTTACTGGCTGTCTCATTGGCATTTGCGGGGTTGGGGCATTCTTTTTCCCATTTAGATTTGGAGTCTGGCGGTTATTATTATTATTAGATTTAAGTTCCGGGGAAGAAATGTTTGCGTTCGCAACGGGCTGTTGAGATTATGAATAAAACCTTTGTCCTAATACAATGCCAAATTAATATTTAAAATATTTAAAAATTCACACATACCGTGGTTAATATCATACTACTTTGTGGCATTTGAGCTTGATTCACTGCGTTAGATCGTTGTTGAGCTTGAACATCTGAAATGAATAAAAAAATAAATTAAAATAAAAATATACATACATATATATATATATCAAATAAAGAATTATATAAAGAATTTAAAAAAAACTTCAACTTACTTTGTATGTAATTAGCAGAATCATTAGGTGTAATTCTCTGCCTCTTAGTTGGTGATGATAAAGGTTGATTCACTCCCTCGTTATTACGTTTCAAAGAAGGGTTAGCCTATTTATCAGAGAGTTCGATGTTTTTTTTTAACGGCAACTATTTAACAATTCTATGGGTGGATGGACTCACTGTTTATTAATATATATATATATATACCTGTGCTGGACTGGGCTGAGCCATATGCAGTTGCGCTGAACCGGCTACTACACCCTGAGGTTGATTATCACGTTGTTGCTGCTGTTGTTGTTGTTGCTGCTGCTGCTGTTGTTGTTGTTGATGTTGCTGCTGTACTAACATTGATGCTGATTGTTGTTGTGATTGACTTGGAAGTTGTGTGTTTTGAGTTTGGGCGGCGATTTGAGCTTGCAACATATTCGGTTGCATAAACATTCTACTTCCCGCAGGAATCCCTTGCATTTGAGGATTCATCATACTTGCTCTATTTGTAAATTAAATGAATGTAAGATAATATAAAGAATTCTATACAGATTTTCAAATAATACTTACGGCATCCCTCTACGCATTAAGTTAGCAGCGTTTAACTTCATCTGATTCTGGTTAGCTCGTTGTGGACTCATAGACATCATGTCACCGTTGGCATTTGCATCAACGTTAAGAGACACACCATTTTGCATATTCGGTCGATTGAATTGAGTTGGCTGTTGTTGATGTTGAGCGGGTGATTGTTGTGGCGGTTGCGTAGGTTGAGACTGCTGCTGCTGCGATTGTTGTGGAGGTTGTTGTTGTTGCGGTTGTTGTTGTTGTTGTTGTTGTTGCTGCTGTTGTTGTTGTTGTGCTTGTTGTTGTGCTTGTTGCGCTACTGCTTGTTGTTGTAAGTGCTGCAGCCGCTGTAAATGTTGTTGAGCGGTAACGGCTTGATGAGCATTTTGTGGAAAGCCTCCGACAGGTATCTGATTTAGTGAATCTTGCATCAATCGCGTACGCATTATTTGATTTCTATTCCTCATTTGCTTTAAAATGAATAGATTTATTTAAGTGTTAATATATATATATATATATATATGAAGAAATTTTTAAATGTTTAAATATAGATATAATAAAAATCTACCTGATCTACTACGTAACGCTGAGCTTCAGTAGTTCCAGGACGATTTAACTTTGCACTATATATATCCCAAAATACAGTCCACCACTCATATAAAAAACCTTCAGGAGCTTGTACAGGTACATCGACGTCCGGTAACGATGTATTATCGTTATCAGAACTTGAACCTCCATTTCCGTTTATTGAATTTGCAGTACCGTCATTTTTCACTACGCCCTGAAAATCACCTTCTCTTAAATAAGCTTTAGCTGTTTCTATAGCACCACTACGTTTTAAGAAATCGTATACGTAAGCATTCAACAATTTTTGTTCCCTCTTTATATGCATGCCGTTCCTCTGATTTTGGTCAACTTGAGGGTGAGCGGATAACATTTGTTGCTGATTCTGTTGTTGTTGCGCTTGGGAGGGCTGTTGGCCCTGAGGTGGCTGCTGAGTCTGACTCTGAGGTGGCTGTTGTGTAGGTTGTTGTTGCGGTTGTTGCATTTGCATATGGATTATATTTGTCGGTACCGGCAACATTTAGATTATGTATCGTCGTTGAAAAAAATTTTTTTTGTTTCTAAGATTGATTTGTAGTTTTACAATTTTAGTGAATGAGTTATTGAGAATAAAATCCGGAGAAATTATTCGGATTAAAATTAGGAGACGGTTATAAGGTTAAAAAATAAAGTAGTGAGAAAATAAAAGGTAAGGAGACTGATTGTTGTTATATAGGCTGTCTAATATAAATTATTATATATTACAATATAAGACAGATGATTTATAAATTGTTTTACCTGTTATATGTGAAATAAAAAAAATTACGAAAAAAATAAAATTTTTTTTCCTCAGTATATCAAGTCTTATATGGTATAAACTGTTGGTATAACTGAAAAAACTGGATATATAAAAAAAAGGAGAACAAAAAATTGTGTGAAAAAAAAATAATAAAAATTAAAAAAATTAAAATTTCGCTAGTTATTGGGTCAGGAAGTACAAACCTACCTTTTATATGATTAATGAGTTATCTGTAGGTGCCTCCGAGGTGAAATACGTATAGTTTAGAATACGTTTGGGGTAAAAATAAAGCAGAGGAGGCTATTAAAAATGAATTCCGTGCTATCGGCTAAGAATTTATGAATGAAGTGAATGATTAGGCGTAAAATGAAAAAAAGGAAAATGGGGGGCGAACATTAGTGATACAAACTGATTGAATTGACACAACAGGGATTTTTCTTGAATGATCAACCCCAAACTGTAAGAATATGATCAGATAGTCTATATCTTGTTTCACGAGAGGTCTATTATAGAAATATTCGACCTATTGTGGACCAATGATGGTGTCGTAATGAGATACACAGCGTAAAGTCTCATCGACGAACAATGAAGTCATTTTGTTCCTTTAAGATCTGATGACTTTGCCATTCAACAAAGAAAGTAACTTTTTAAATTTGCGTTAAAGTGCTAGCTAAAATCCTCAATTTTACCATCCTTCTGAATGAGTTTCATATTTTATTTAACATTTAAATGCTAATGATAAGTAAAGGGCTTTAACCCTTTTTATTCGTTACACCCGATTTCGATCTGTTTAAATGTGCGGCAAAAATGTATTTAAAGGGTTGCTTTCTCTCATACCATAGCGTTAAAGGTGGTTGAAGACATTTTTTTTTTTTTTTTTTTTTTAAAAAAAAAATTATCGAAGATTTAACCAGCCATGCCAAAAAAACGTGTTTGAATTGTTTTATTTAATTACCTAAAACCATCGTTTTAAGGCTTATTCGGTATTTTATATACATATTTATATGAATGTAAACAAACCCAATTTCTTGGCCACATTCAACATGTGTCTTGAAGAAAAGATACGTGTTACATCTTTCACGCTGCAGCTATAAATCTTGTGAATCTTGTTTAAAATATATATATACTATATATACTGTAGATAAATTAGGGGTTGGGTTATAATAACTCTGTTTCTTATAAATATGGGAATCTATGATAATGCCTTTAAAAAAACAAACTCTGTAACTCTAGCAACAAACAAAAATTAAAAAGAAACAATTTGCAAAATTTCCAAACTAATGAAAAATAATTGTTGAAAATCTTTAACAAATAAAATGATTGTCATAAACAATGTTAATAGGATTTATCATTTTTAAATTTAGTAAGTTTTACACAGTTGGCGAACTTCAAAAATGCCAGTACCGCCTTGTACAACTTTACCAAGTACTAGCCTTGCTGATGGCGAATTTAATGTATCAATATCATTATTAAGTGTTGCATGGGTCAAGAAATTGCAAGTAGTTTCAAAGCTCATCTGAAGAAAAGGTGAGGAATTCGATGCAAGACCCATTCGATTAAATGGTTTAAATGTTCCTTCAAATGTCTTTAATAATAAAATGAACCGATAAATTCAAATGTTTATAATAAAATTTACAATTGACTTAATAAGAAAGTGGATAACTTACCATATAATCCGCGACAAGTGTCAAATGTCTTGGATCTACGTTGATACTATATGCTGCGAACACGTCTGATATTTCTTTCATTATAGCCCCTCTTGCAGCTTCAACGCCGTAGTTTTTGAGTATTGCAGCGATATCATTAGAATAAATTTTGTTAATATCGATTATGTTATCGTATAACCATATATTATGAAAATTAACTCCTTCAGTTGCAACAGTTTTCTAAAAATACATTAAAAAATGTAAGAAAATGGTTAAATTTAAAAATTTGTCATTTTAAACCTTCTTCAAGTATATCTATCCTACCGATGTGTCTCCCTCAATATCATTCGCGATTGGATAGCATTTGTTAATTCCACTAACTTCATGGATAACTGTCTTTTTACATGCGTCTTCGGCTAAGCTTAGCAATAACAATTTTTTGGTATCAGCAGGGAACTAATGTAAAAGAGGAAATATAAAAGAGGAAATGTAAAAGAGGAAATGTAAAAGAGGAAATGTAAAAGAGGAAATGTAAAAGAGGAAATGTAAAAGAGGAAATGTAAAAGAGGATAAATTAATAATACAATAATCATTGCAATTCAAATCATTTCGTATAAATAATAAGGACAAAAATAATACCCGCAATTCTATATCACACCAACTTGAATTGACATGGTCAAATTGGTAATCGGTGATGCAGTTTGAAGACGCTACAACTTTGTCTCGTAAAACAGATCGCTTAGTTTTGTCTCGTGACTTTAAGGATGAATCTTGTGGTTGGTCCGTATCATTATCTGTATCTTCTCTCCACTCACTATTATCATCCGTTTCTGAATTTTCATTGTCAAATGCAAGGTCATTCTCTTTAATGATCTCAAGATCATCATCATCCGGTCCATCGTAGGTCGCAAATTGTTTGGTTCTAGAATTTATCCTTGCATTAGTAGCATCGCCATCACCATCATCAGATTCTGTGTTAAGTGCCAATCATGATTAAATCAATCATTCTAATTTTTAATTGTCATAGAGATCGTCAAATTTAAATACAGTATACAATATTTACCATCTCCACCAGTGTTAATCGGTTCATCCTCATCAAATGTAGCATCTTTTCTTGTTCTGTTTATAAATTTATCTATTCCTTGAGCTATATCTAAATATATATATATATATTGAAAAAAAAATATTAAGTTCATGAAATATGAATATGTAGCTAACTATAAAAAATCTTTGTGAAAAGCTAACCAATGTAACTTTCATTCTTGCTTTTAGTGTTTTTAAATTCAGTAGATATCGCATTCATAAGATGTTTTATAAATTTTGATTCGATTGCGCGCTCAATTTGCGAAGGTACGATATTAAATTCTTTTGTATATTCTTCACGTGAATAGAATTGCATGCGAATATTATAAATCCTGCATCGAACCGATCCATCCGTATCTCGTTTACTAGACAAATGTTCAGTTACTATCATTTGATCTACAATTTCAGCTAAAGTTAATTTGCTTATTTCCTGACAGAATTTAGCTGATTCTTGCTCAGACACATTTTCAAGCAAGGGAAGTGTCATCATTGGTGTCTTTATCTTTTCCGATGCTGTCATAATTATCTCACGTAAACGAGGAATACCGAGGGTGACGTTCTTCGCACCAAATCCGGCAAAATGGAAAGTATTTAATGTCATTTGCGTTGATGGCTCTCCAATGCCTTGAGCTGCTAGTAGCCCAACTGACTCGCCAGGTTCAACTAAGCTATGAAGGTATTTAAGATGCATAAGCTTTCGAAAAGCGGATTTTGATATTGAATCGGCTTTAAATAAGTCATCCAGATCCTCATTCGTATACTGATATATATTTATGTATTAGTCATAGTATAAAGTAAACTTAAATATAAACTTTAATTCGAAACAAATTTAATACCTTCTCTAAAGCATTATGGAATTTCTCGGAAACGCAACCTAGGTAAGTGCTTGGAGAATATTTAGAAAGAACTGGATCATACTCGTGAGGCTTTTTTGCTGCTCTCTTTGCGTAAATAGACGCACAAGAAGTATTTAGCACTTGTTGTGCTTTTGCAATATCGTATTTTTGTAACAATGCTTTATGATTTTCTGTATTAAACTTAAACTCATAGAGATGTTTTTGCTTGGTGATATCAAGTGAATCTTCTCCATAATGAAATTGAATAACGGAGCCATCTCCATCTCTAACTGTATGGTCATAATGCACTTTTAAGCTTTCTAGATGTTTAATGAGACAACGTTGTAAATAACCAGAGCGACTTGTCTTCACGGCTGTATCGATAAGACCCTCACGGCCAGCCATGCAATGGAAAAAGAATTCCTGCAAAGTTACCAATTATTAATAATATAATATGCAATATAAATAGTAAGTGCTCATTTACTCTCGCAATTTTAATATATTTTACCTGCGGCTTTATGCCAGTTAAGAAGCGACCACCAATGAATCCTCCTGCACGTGCGGAGGGTTCATAAGGTAGGAATGATGGGAGAGTCTTTCCACTAACCATTACTGGTACACGCCGACCTTCTAATTCCTGTTGGCCTTTAAAAATTCGAGACATGCATGTAATTCAACAACTTAAGCAACAATAAAAGAATAAAAAACAGCTGACATACAACTTACCCAAACAACATGATATTTGCGAAACGTTCACACTACTCCCTTTTGCCCCGGATATTGTCATGGTTTGCATGTTATTATGCGGGAAGCGTTTCAACTTATTAAATAAATAGTTTTTAAATATTACATATATATATTTTTAAAGATAAAAATTTCTGACGTCTAATACACGTAAGTAATTACCAATTTCGTTGGTATACAATTTGCAATAATTGATGAGGTCAATTTGTTTACACTTGATTTCATAATAGCATCTAAACCTTGATGCTTTTCACTATCGCGCAATACTTCTTCCATCATATTTTTAAATTCTGATATTTCTGATATGTAACAAAAAAATAATCAATTTTTTTTTTTTTTTGATGTTAAAATAAGGTAATAACAAACCTTTATCCGTGCTTGGCAAATCCGTGTTCTCGACAACCTTGCTCAGCCCTACATATTTAAAAGCAGCAATTTTACCAAGGTTTACATTATTATTCATTAATTTTTTTCGTTCCTGGTCGCCCTCTGGTGTCAATCTCAAATCGTCCATACGACACGAAAATCCGTATCGTTGCATATATGTTGTAAATAAACGGCCCAAAACACTAAGAAATTGACCAGTAATATCGGCAGAATATAATTCATAACATGAATGAACCAATCCAAATGCAGAATCTCCAATTTGTGATTTATCAAGGATTCCAGTGAGAAAATCTCCATCAACGAAAATTACAGTTTCCTCTTCGGGCGCGCTCCAACCCCAGTACTTAGATGAAATTTTGGTTTTAGATCGCAAATTTAGAGGGACAAGGCCAACAGTTAAATTCTTTAGTATAGTGGTTATCTGTTCAGTGTTGATAATAAACATTCAGTATATTTAAATCGTCAAATTGTCTATTATTACTATAGATGCTGGTGAAATTAATTTCACCAATTTCACCAATTCGCCAACAATAGTGATGAAATTATTTCACCACATTTCACCATATTTCACCAGCACCTATAATTATTACCCACACCACTTAAACATCACATAAGCTAAAGGTAAGGTCATATGGTACCACAAATTGATTAACAATAATACATTCAGACCTCTCTAAATGCACCTCCTTAAATGCAGTCTTTATCTCTGGCCCAAACATATTATACAGACCCCATAAATACAATTTTTTCATATTGTTCTCTAAATGCAAGCTGCCAAAAGTTTGGTCCCTACGAGTTACATTTAGGGATTTAACTGTATATCATATTTTAGCTTACTTTGTGATACCATATGATCAGGAACGACGATTTTCTGCAGCGATATTTATTTATTTTTGAAAATAAACAAAAATCACCGCAGAAAATCATCGACCATGCATATGATATATGACATATAGGGTTGTAAAAAATATTATACGGTATAATAACATTGGTTAATATACCGTATAATAACCGTTATTATACCATCAATTTTTGGTATAATTGGTATAATATTGGTATAATATAAATTAACCAATAAAATTTAGTCATATTAACTGCCATACGAATAAATTCTGATTTTAAATCACGTGTTATTATACCGTTATTATACCAAAAATATATTATACCGTATAATTACACCCTAATGACATATGACATATGACATAAGTGATACTTAGATATTTAGGTGGTATGGCTGCACAAATTTTGTTCAAATAGGGCTAATTTTTCGAATAATAACACGCATATATTAAGATACGAAAATCTGAACGTACCATTTGTTTTCCAGTCCACAGTGCTTTCGGTTTTTGTATAGCAGGCGGCACGGTCAAAATTCGTCTCAAATCAGAAGAATCTAATCTTAGTGCAGAAAATATGATCTGCTGATAATCAGCTTTCGTAAAGAACGTATCCTTACAAGTCATCCACACACCAGCCACTACATGATCTTGAATCAAGCCTCTCAAAGGAGATCCCGAAGTCGGACCAAGGTATTGTCGACTTGTATTGCCTATTAATGCGGCTTCAGCACGCGCAATTTCATTTTGAGGAAAATGCATATTCATTTCATCTCCATCAAAATCTGCGTTGTACGCCTTACAATTAGCATAGTGCATACGAATTGTCATTTCTCCTTTTAACACACGAGCACGATGTGCCATTATAGATGGTTTGTGAAGAGTAGGCTGACGATTTATTAGCAACATATCACCATCTTGAAGATGACGATATATCTTTTTATTTATGTATGGTGTCTTAACAAAATACTGAGTAAAAGATGATTTGTCTTGTTGTTCTCTAAGTAATTGTTGTCCAAGCGACATACGAGATTCTAATGACAAACTTGCTAAATTTATCAAAGAACCATCCTCATTTTGAACAAATGTAGCACCTGGCCATACATCTGGTCCATTTGACACAGCCTGACTCAACGCTTTAACATTGTAAGATGTCACCGGTTCTGGATACGTCAACCGTTTAGCAAACTTAATGGGTACCTATATATGAATGAAATGTAATTTAAAAATTTAGATCAATAGTTAGCAAAGTATACATCAAATTTTTAAATTTTTTTAAAGTATGATTAATTACTCCTATTTCATCCGTGTCAATATATGGGTCAGGTGAAATAACGGAACGAGCAGCATAGTTTACGCGTTTGCCCTTCAGTAAAATACAATAATTAATTCCAATTTAAAAAAAAATTTTTTTTTGATTAAAATTATACATCACAAACCATTAAATGCTTCCGAAACAACCCTTCTTTTTTTTCCAAAATTTGCTTAACACCGGCGGCAGGTTCTTTGTTACGTATTAATTTTAGATTTCCTTTCGTATTGTCAAACAAACCATTTACCGCATTTTGTAATTCAACCCAGCTTTTCATCAAGTTTTCAACAATATCTACATAGCTTGTCTCGTTTGTCTCATTAGTATCCACATGTATCTTGTTTTTATCCAACATTGTGGCATGAGTGCAAAATTCTAGACGTGCATTCAAAATTCTAGCTAAATGTTCATTTTGTGGATTTATCGATGTCTTATTATTACCAAAAACTGATGCTGGACGAAAACGCGTAGGGGGAACAGCAATAACGTTCATAAAAAATATATCTGCGCTAACAATCTCAGTCTGAGAATCCGGGTTATCCAATAAAAGTCCTCGTTTGCCATATAATAAAGAACACAGATCTGATTCATTCACAAAGAGCTTATGAAAGTGATCACGCAATGCTTCTGGTGTAACATATTCTTTTGCAGCTTTAGAGTTTTGAATAACGTATGATTGATCTTCATCGACCAATGAATCCAGATCTTTTGAATCTTGTATGTTGTGTTGTTTAGCATATTGATTTGCTAACTCTTGATTCCTCTGCGCTTTCGAAAATTTCGATGATAAAGCGCATTGAAATATTTTTGAATGACCTTCCTTTTTAAATGTTCGACAATAACTAAATTCATATATATAAATTAAGATACGTTTCGGCAAAAAAATTAAAAACAATGATTCTTTAACTTACATCTTGCAATTACTGCATTGTTTTGGAGCAGATGACCTTTTCAAAAATTCAGCTATTACATTTTTTCGTTCAGCATTGATTGCGGTAGTCTTATAAATTTTCTTATCAACATTCTTCAAACATTTATTTACATATTGTTCTTTAATAAAGAAAACCATATTAGATTAAATAGTAATAAAGAAATTCACGTATAGATACTTGCCAAGCGATCTAAAATAATTATCAGAATCAAATTCAGTAGAATCAACATCAATTGATTTATGATCTTCATCAGTTGTTAATATATCTTCAATAGCAATTCCATCAATTCTTTGAGCTTCCAAAAGTAATCCATAATTTAATAATTTGAGCTTGGCAGTATATCGAAAACTCTAAATATTATAAATTTTGAGATGGGGCGAAATTGATATGAAAATTCCAATCGTCATTTTTACCTCCGTCGCCGCCAATTTAAATCGATGACAGTTTAAACAAATTGCCTTTAATAAGGTCAAAGTATGAGAAAAGAATACAGGATTATACACGGGACAAGGGAGTTGAATGTGTCCAAAATGACCGGGGCAATTAAAGTGATCAAGATTACAAGTACCGCAACTATTAAAACCATAGTAAATCATTATAAATGTCTGTTTTATCTATTATAGAAATTTAGCTTATAAGGTTGATAACGCATACACAGCATTACGAGTAACTGGCCCCAAAGCTGGATCATACAATCCACCCTCCGTAGGTAAACCCAATGAATCAAAAATAACAGGGTTAACAATTTCTTTAACGGATAATTTCTTGATTTCATTAGAGGAATAACAAGCAAATGTTGCAGAATTGATTTCTACACCGAGTGGATGTGCAATATTCATATTTACTGTATCTTGAAAAAAAAAATTGAACGTGAATTCTATAATCTTTTGACCGTTACACAATCCGTTACACGAAGGCAAACCCAGTTGTCTGGACCAGCATAGAGGGCTTTCATTATGATTGGCTAGTTCTTGTAGATCATTTTGTGACGTAACAAATTTTGATTGGCTAAGAGAAGATAAGTTCAAAGTAAAAAATTCGCTAATAA